CCACTGATGTTAGCCGTGGCCAGGAATTGAACTCTGGTCGCCGGGTTCATCACACAGTGGGCAAACACCCGTGCCACCCCTCCGCCCAAGGTAGTATTAAACGCGATTGAAATTTCGCTGAAGGTAATTGGCAGCTGATAGAATTTACACATACATTGTGTACGTTTTGCAACGTTCTTTCGAGTTCCTTGTATAACGTGTCTTGATAGAATTCAATGGAAAACCTAAAAAATAAACGGAGCGTGCTTGGTCGATTGATCCTCAACTCACTGAATCACTCAAGTCATCCACTCAATCACTCATTGCCATTCAATGGCTTCATTGTCACTTTTCCCACCCCCATGAACGTCACGCATTGATACCTCCGCCGATGTTAAGGACTTGTTCTACCAGACTGACCGTTTTCCTCGCATGCGCAGTGCGTTTGAGGAGCATCGGAACACCCTCCCGTGACCTCATCGATTCATTTCCGATGCGCGAATCATTGTTGCATGCAACCTGCTGCCGGCCTGTGCCCAGGAATTTGTGACAACAGGCAAATACTTCCAAACAAGAGTTGACTGTCCGTTTAGTCACATGAAGACATCGCGTTTACCGATATGCAGTAGGGCAATCAGAAATAAACTGTCATATATTATTTCTTGAGTAACAATTCAAATACTCTTTGGTTCTTTCGGTAAAGTTACGTAGATGAAAAATAATAATAATAAAAATAATAAAATGAAAATAACTAAATTAAATCACGACGTTTCGGAGGCAACACAAGCTTCCGTCATCAGGTGGAACAGCCACAGCTAAACTGAGCTAATTAAGTTATTTTCATTTATTATTTATTATTATTTTAATTTTCATCTACGTGACTTTACCGAAAGAACTAAAGAGTATGGATCTTTGCGGTCACGAAAACTTCAAATCTAGAACAATTCAAATGTTATTCGTGTCATCGGTGGCAATCGTGAGTGATGAGTGCGTAGCGGCGTGAACCATGCTGCTTGTGTTCCATTCCTGGTTACGGCTGACATCAGTGATGATATCTGAATCGGAACTTCTCCCCTACCCACCCTCCCCCATTCACAAACCCGCATTGACCAGATTGGTGAAGTATGGACACCGCACAATTCCCACGGCCGACACGAACATCACAGTGGTGTGGTGTGGTGAGGCTTTAATCAAGCAGATTGATTTGCAAAGGGTCGTAGGGTTATTATAATTCCCTTTACGCAGCTGAGAACGGCTCAATGATTTTCAAGACTCTCAGTATTGTGCAGTACCGGGATGTTGGGCCAATTCTCTCGCGGGTATCCAGCAATGATGAGATGAATTGTGAGCTGATTTCGTTCGCTACTGCGGAGGCTTTTCGCGGTCGTGCTGTGGGGCTCTCTGATGTGCTTTATTTTTCTTTCTCTTTTTTTCGGGTTCTTACCGAGTGCATTATTTGTTCGGCACGAAGTCCAACGTTTCACAGGATGTTCTTGGAGGTTTTCATTTCGCTCGCAATCGACCTGCAATGCATATTTATGTTGAACGCCTTTCGCACCGCGCGTAGCCAACCGTGGTAGTCGGAGTTGCCGGGGGAAGGACAGCAAATTGAACGCGAGTGAGAGAGAGAGAATGAGGGCCGCGTGCGTTGCTTGACTGCAGTGTATCGTCCTCATCTGCGGTGGATGGATGGGTGCGAGCGAGAGAGAAAGAGAGCAATTCAGCGATTCATTGCTGACAAGATCTCTCTCTCGCAGTGTGAAATCGCTGCCGTTCTCTCTCGCTCCCTCCCCCCACCACCTCCCCTCCCTCCTCTGGCCCGACCCCAGCCATCAGGGCCACTTATTAACCGGTGCCGGCAGCTGGCGGTGAAAAAAAACGCCACGCTCACGAAGGGGGGTCCCTCCCCCCTCCCAGGCTACGTTTGAAAAGCGGTCGCTTCATTAAGATGCGGAGCGGAGCGCCGCCCGGAGGCACCGGTGGTGGATCCTGCGGGATTGTGGTGGTGAATCCTGCGGGGATTGTGGTGGTGGATCGTACGGGGATTGTGGTGGTGGATCCTACGGGAATGTGGTGGTGAATTATACGGGATTGGGGTGGTGAATCTTACGAGATTGTGGTGGTGAATCTTACGAGATTGTGGTCGTGAATCTTACGGGATTGTGGTGGTGGATCTTATGGGGATTGTGGTGGTGAATCTTGCGGGGATTGTGGTGGTGGATCTTACGGGATTGTGGTGGTGAATCTTACGGGATTGTGGTGGCGTCTCCGCCGCCTCGGAAGGGGCGGAACGGAGCTGATCGGAGTGGAGCGGAGCGGATCTGCGCCGCTGCAATTCATTGCCCGTGCCGACCCACGAATTTTCGGCCGGGGGTACCGACCGCCAAAGCCGCCAAGCTGCGATGTTGTTCTGCGCTTTTGTGTCTCCCCCCACTCCCTTGTGAGAGATTGGGCGACGGTAGCAGTAGCAGCAACAATAAAAAAATGGCAAGATTGGTTTGGGGTGGGATGCGAGGAGGGTGGTGGTGGGTTGGTGGTGGAGGGGCAGTGGCAAATTTACGTTGCTGAATTCTCTCCGGCTTCAATGATCTAAATGGGAGGGCAGGAACGGCTGCGGCGGCGGCGGTGGTTGTGGGGGTGGTGGAACTGTGGCTAAACAGCCCTGCGAGGGCGGTGATCACCCTTACATTGGCCATCCTTTGTGCCCGCACTTGCTCCACCCAACCTCCTTGAGTCGCCGCCACTGGCAATTTCGTTTCGAAAAAGGGGATGAATGCGATGGAATTGTGACACGGAGGGCTGCGGCCTCTCGAACCGCTCGGGTCCTCTCGCCCTCCCCACGAGGCTCCCACAATGTAAATGTTTTTTTGTCGCTTTTCCAATCCGCAGATGCGCGCCGCGTGTAACGAGCTCATTTGCATGTTAATATTATTTTTTTGGGCTAAACGGGAAATGATGGTAAGCTTTGAACGGAACGTCTGCATGGTGACACGCATGCAAATCGCGAGCTGCATTTTTTGTTCCACTCAACATTGTTTCATCTTTCCTTCTGCTAGTTTATTTACGATCGCGCTATCGGTGTTGTGCCGTGCCGCGAGAACGAGGGTCCGTGTAGAAATGCCACAGATCGATGCGTAGGTAGCCCCCCCCCCCCATCCCCGTGTGTGTCGGTAGGGAACGGTTGCGGGAGAGATTTTCATCGCGGTACTTTTGAACAAAAATAACCAGGTGGTCATTTGACCCTCTGTACAGCAGGAGTCGCACTTTTCCACACACGATGCTATTCACACGATATAACACCCCCCGCAAAACAAACAAACCTGCATTGTGGATATTGGTCACGATAGCCTACGGTGTTAAACTATGCAATGTTGGTTGCGTGACAAGTCAAAACAATATTTGTATCACTGTTATAGTCAGAGATGTTATTTAATCCAGTCAAGCGCAAAAGCCATTTTTAACGAGTTAAATATTTTCTTTGCGCGGTCATTGGTGACCAGCCTGATGCCGCATCCGATTTACTTCCCAAAGGGTTACGGTATTTCGGCAATTGGACGGTGGTGAGGGGGGGTTGAAGTTCACCGAGTGGATCGAAGATGAACGCAGTTTGTTACCGTTCTGCTTCGGTATGGGATTGCTTTTTTAAATCCTTTATATTAAGTTCGCTTGCTTGCTTAGGACCGTGCAAATCTTTCGGTCGTTTTTAAACCAACTTCCCGTGATCCAATCGAGCTGACATTTTGCACACAGACTCGTTGTGCGTGACAATTTATTTTAGTGAAATTTATTTTCCAAAATTTTACACTTTTTAGGAAAAAATAAATTATATTTAATTACCAATTGCTTAATGGTGGCAGGCAATCATCTGACCCATGGGTGGCAGCCATCTCAAGCCAGAGGACGAGAGGACTCTAGCCGCCACGCATATACTGTAAAGGATTTAGAGTGAAAAACTTTGTTTTTACGGGTTAATTTTTTTCTCCCCCCACCCCGCCCGTTTCTCCAAATATTAAATAGTGCGTGGAATACGCGGAATCTTACTGCCGTCATTTGTTGCCTCGAGCAGTAAATCGGTCCCCAATTGAGGGATGCAATATAAAAAAAAAACTGGACAAAGTGCTGCTTGCAGACTTTCATTCAAGTATCTGGGGTCTGGTTAACTTACAGCAGCAATAAACACCCAAGTACGTTTTGATGTTTCTGTAAATTGATTTGACTACACATGGTTTTTTTTCTTTCAGTAAAATTGTCGAAGCCAATATTCCATTGCTTCTGTAGTGCGTGAGTCCTTTGCTTAAATATAATCTTGCTCTTGTTTGCCGCTGATTGCTATTTTCTTCACTGATGCATTTTTTTTATTCGTACGTCTCGAGTACTCACCATGTTTAACAAAATCTCATTTGCACTCAATTTGTGCGGTCAATATAGTTCATTAACAGTTTTAGATCAGCTGGAATTAACCTTAGCATTCATGATACTATATCTACTAGTGGTTTAAAGATGTCGTCTCATCAGCGACATATATCTTCTTAAGCTCACCGTACAATGCATCAACTTGTGCGTGTAAGAATCAATGATTTTAGATTCGTACGTGTTGCATTTCATGTATTTCAATCACCCTTTGATGCAATACAATTCACGCAATTATATAGGGGCGCCATGGTGTTAAGATGTTAATTCCATCGCCTGGTATGCAGGAGGTCGTTAGTCCGATCCAGCAGACTCTGACCCTTGTACATTTGGAGTTGTATTCTTCTCTCCCGTGGTCTGGTGGAATTTTCTCTGGGTTCTCCGTTTTGTATTTCCACATTTAGAATCTACATGTTTTTAAGAGTATTTGGCTGCTTTAAGCATCCACGTGTTACGCTAATTCGTTGAGGTATCATTTGTGGCCAGGTCGCCTATCAAAGAGAGATGCATAGCTCAGTGGGTCTTGCCTGGTAAAATTAAATAAGTATATATTTTTAATAGTTCTATAAAGAACGAATCCTTGAATGGAATCGTCATAATGTGGAATTTCTGTCATGTCATATTTTGGTTACCAGAATAATTTACAAATCTGTTTCACCACGAAAATATAATAAATTAAGTATTTTTTTTCTCCATTTGCCTATCAGCGTATGGAACAATTGTTTTACGCCACAATTTAAGCAGGTAAATGCTGGACTGGTTTTAAATTTCAGAGTCATAAGCAGGGCGAGTGCCCATTTGCTGCTCACCACGCAAATTCCACGGAGCCTCAGTACGGAAAACAAAGCACAAAAGTTATGACTTGCTGTTGTGGTGGATTGTATGGTTTACTTTATTTTTAAGTGGCAAAACAGACATTCGTATTATTATAACTGTATTACTGTTATTACCCGTTAGCAGGCCACTGATTAGAAATTGAATATTCATTTTAAATCTGGGGAATTTACATTTAAGAAAAGAAAAAAACACTCGTCTTACTGCGAACTCTCAGAGCAGCCAACGCATCATCACAACGTACAACACGGGTCGACAGCCAGGTTAACCCTTTTCAAGACAATCACGCTCATCGTTTTTTTGTTTTTAACGTGGACAAAAGCAGACCCGAAAAAATGCAGTGATGGCCATTTATTCTCTGCGGAGGTTTGTGCGCGTAGGCAAAAATTGTTTCGTACGCCGACAGCGACGCGGGCACGTGGGCACGCAGGCTGGCGAAACGCACTGCGCCCATCCTGCCTTGGCGTTCGCGTGACAATTCCAGGGTGTGTAAGGCGGGCGGGGGGGGGGGGTGCTCACTCATTGTAACAACGAGACTACGGTAGCGTCGAACACCGTGCAATCCCGAAGACGGTGCACGCCCCCCGCCTGCCACCACCACCGCAGCCGCCGCTTTTTGGGCTTCTGTCCCGTGGCCGTTGAAGTCCCGAAACGCACCGCTTGTACACACGCGTGAGCCCAAACCGTGCTTTCGTGAGAAACAAAATATAAAATAAACCGCAGGACAAACCCACCCACCCCATGACTACGTGTCGCATGCCTGGCAGACAATATGACCACATTTTCGTGCACTCCCACAACTATAGTGCTTAGACAAAAAAAAAAGAGACAAACGCAAAATAACTGAATTTGTTCTACCACAGGTTTTCAACCGTCAGTCTGTATACCCTGCCTTTTTTTGTTTTGTTATGAAGGCGTTTCAGGATTCGTCATCTATTCTTCCCCTCCAGTTTTGAAAATGTTGGCCAACCCCTGCTTGCTTGCAGCCTTACTTATTGTGTTCGCTACACAATTCACCTTTGGTGTTCCCCCCCCCACCCCCCATTCGGTGTGCTGTCCACTGCCCGGCTGATCCGATTGTACAAACCTCGTGCCCACCAATCGCCCTCATTGTAGCTGCTAAGCGAAGGGGCCTTAGGCCGCTCACTGTGACCAAGATGAGCCACTCGCTCTGCTGTCAACGTCAACGATTGTTTGGCTTCGTGGCCGTGATTTGAAGAAGAAAAAAATCACATTTTTAATTACGCTCGAAATATACGGTATGACAATTCTACGCGCTGTTTGTTATGGGTAACAATTATAATGATCATACTAATTCTCATTCACAGGCGTTTTTCTTAATCCGCTGCTGGATGAAAGCCTCGTGATGTCGTGTCAATCATGGAGTGTATTACATATTCGTATAACATCGATCTTGTATGTCACATTCAACTGGTTCTGAATCAAAGGAACTGAAACGATTTCGTGGGGCAGGCTGCGTAAATGTGGGCAAAGGTGCAGCCCCTGCAAATGCTCGCTCACGCCACCGCCGACGCAAAGCCCTCCGCTCGCACAGACTCTAAAGGGGACTTGGGTCCACCTTTCCACGTTGACCAGACGTGTTGGAAGAGGTGGACGTCCCCAGACTTGACCCCACCGCCACGTGTTGACCTCAGGTGTTCTCATTTACATCGCCAGGTGGACAAAGGTTGGTGGTGGAGGGGGAGGGGGGTGTGATTTGAGTTTCAACTACCGCGCTGGAAGATGGGATCACACCGGCGACCTTTCGATTGAAAATCCGGCGTGCAAATCAATCCGCACTTCCGTGGGGGTAGACCACTCATCGTCAATTCCCTTGTAAGTGGCCAAGACTGTCGTGTCAAATTATTGCAGTGTTTCTTCACAATTAGTGCAGTTCAGTTACTATGCAAGCGTCGAGAGAGGACACCGTGTACCGCAACTTAAACAATGAATCTGTCAGTGTTCCAAATAAACTTTTCCCCTTTCTTGGTTCTTTCGGTAAAGTTACGTAGAAGGGAAGTAATACAATAATAAAAATAAAACATGATAAAATAATTCTCACGACGTTTCGGCCACAACGCAAGCAGCTGTCCTCAGGAAAAGACCAGGTCTGTCGGGGAGACAGACCTGGTCTTCACCTAATTCCCTTCTACGTGACTTTACCGACAGAACCAAGAAGATGAATCCCTGCAGTCACGAAAGCTTTAATCTAAACTTTTCCTCTCAGCAGTTACATTTACAAAAAAAGAAAACACAGCAATATAAATAAAATATTCATATAAAAATACTCTCTTGCAAAATATACAAATAAATGCATTGCTAAGCAAGACTTCCCTACAGTTTAATAGTAAGTCCGTACAAAATAAAAATAAATAAAAGGTAGAGAAATGTACTTTTGCCTAAAATGCTAAACGGAAGCAAATATTCTCCACGAGTCCACGTGTAACCGTCAACGTTTAGTCTCGCGGTTTTTTTTTTATGCCAAACCTCTATAAATTAGTTACGAGGAACACATTCAAAAGTTGATACGCAACAAGATATTCTGCGGCATCAGCTGTATGGAAACGAAAAAAAAGCCGGCGTTGTGTGTTTAGGATTCAAATTCACTGATTTCCCCCCTCCCCCCCTCCCTCACAAATCATCACAGAGAACCGGCAAACGCACAGACTGCACATAGCTTGGATTGTTTTCTGTTTGTCAGTGCTACACGTTACGACCAAGGTCTTCACACATCGTCTATGAAAAGGTCTTAACAAGACACTCGGAGAGCAATTGAGCTCTCCACCCACTCCCCTGTATATTGCTGCTATTATTTTAACTTTTTTTCTTAAGTTTGTTAATTTCTCGCAACAATAATATATTGATTCATTTCAATCTGAAAATTTAAACAAAAATAATTATACTTAAAGTACAATACTCCAAAGTAAGTTTTTTTTTACCTTATTCGCGGAGACTTGTTAAAATTAATGTAAAAATATAATTCAATTTTAAAAGTTATTTCATGTTTATATACTGCATGCAAAGGTTAAGTAAGTATGCTTTGCAGCAACAGCATGTTTAACTTCATTTTTGTTTAACTTTACTTCTGAATGTAAATGGATTTTCAGAAGTAATTAAACTGTTGAGGTTAAAACTTTGCCCCTCTTTCGCGAAACGAAATTTGCTTCCACGGTCCTCAATTAATCCTTCCCACTCTCAATCGGCACTTCAAGCACACGGCGATGGGATCTGTCATTATTGAAATCCACCGTCTCACGAATCGCGTGCCATGGAAATTACACTTCCATTTCACCCCGCGTTATAATCATTTAAAATTAAAATAAACTAAAAGTAAAAATAAAAAACTGTCAAAAAGAACGCCGACAAAAACAACACCACCACAAGAAACAAAAACGTAAAATCAAACGAGCTCAATACTTAACGCCGGCAATAAAAACCGAAACAAACACAAATCAAACTGCCCTCCCTCGCCCCATCATTTCAAGAGGGCATCACCGACCAACCGCCTCCGTCACTTGCACGTGTACTCCTCTGTCCTCTCGCTGCACGTGCTGCAGCGCACGTAGCAGCACCAGTGGAACTTGCAGTTGCACTGCCACGCGCGCGTGTACTGGTGCGTGTTGTAGCCGCGGCCGCAGCACAGAAGGTCGCAGCCGTCAGCGTGCGGCGACGTGCGGTTACACAGGCGACCGCGTGTCCCCGCGCTGCCCGTAGCCGGGTCCTCCTCGCAGTAGTTGGGCGAGCGCTCGATGAACACGAGCTCCGTGTCGAGCGGCTTGCGGTACGAGCGCGACTTCTTCACCTTGAGGAACATCGGCCGCAGGTAACGGCTGCCGCTCACCGGCTCCACGTGCACCGTGTGCTCGTACTTGTCCTTGAGCGCGTAGCCCACCTCGCGGAACTTGGGCAGCGTGGTCCAGCACGTCTTGGTGGTGCACGAGCCCGACACGCCGTGGCACTTACACTCCAGCTTCATTTTCTCCTCCAGCACCTGGTCGGTGGAGTGGAAATGGCGATAAGGAACCTCTGCGAACAAGCGCCACAAGAAATATGCGTGCCGCCACTGGGCTCCGTGCTGCCGGCAGAAGGCGGGTTATGGCAGAGCGTGAAGAGCGAAGCGTGTTCAAACACAAGTTGTGTGCCGACTGCATCCTTGCACTGGGCCATTGGGTTTTACCGCTTACACCAATGCAAGACTGAGTTTGATTCCTGGCTATAGCTAACAAGAGCTGCCTTTACCAACCTGCACTAACCGGCATGGTGAAGTAAGGTTAAATTAACCCCTAAAAACTGAAACAGCATGGGGATTCATTGCTAGTATTGGAACATCGTATGAATTAGAATGGAAACGTTGTATGTATGTTGAACTTATTTCGTATTCGTGATGAATCGGAGTTTCGGTAGTTGTATATGAATGCTGAATATATGCAATTCCAGATTAATACAGTTTGTTATTATCTGTAAAGCTATGTTTAGTATTCTTTGTGTCTTTTGGTAAAGTCACGTAGATAGGTTCAAAGAAAATAACGAAAAACTACGACGTTTCGATTGCAACACAAGCGTTCATCATCAGTGTTAATGCACGAGCTCTCTTCGTCCGTCCATTCACACATCACCGCTGAATTTGGTTCCCAGAACGCGAGGCGAACCGCCAGACATCGTGCCAAACAGCATGCAGCACGGCCCGGACACTATAAACTATTTTAAAAAGATGTTATTTGACTAGGTAAGGACCATTGATCTATATAACAATTCATTGGGCTATCACAAATGATAGCGCAATGAATTGTTACATAAGTGGATTAGCATCTGGACATTTAGAGCAGCGACAAACTCTAAACGCACGGTGATTCTAAATCTGGAGGGAAAAACCAGAGAACCCGGAGAAAAATCCACCCACTCACTGGGAGAACATGCACACCCCAAATATATTCCACGTCTATGCTTCTCTATGACATCTAACACAGACTTGATACATTTCCAATGAAGCTGAACGATATCACAAAATAGGTCGGTTTTTGCTTTCATTAATCTGGTTCCAAAGAATAAAAAATAATGATGCTCTCAAAATATTGCCACAGACGACATGAATGTAGTAACCTCTTTGTTGTCGGTATTAATGTTTTAAATTCAACAGCAATATCCCTCTAACTCATTGCAATGATTACCGGAGACGATATAGCTGATATATAAATTTGCGTCAATTGCAAAACACTGTGAATCAAACTAAGGCATTTGGTAAAAAAAAACTCAAATCGTGTAAAGTTCAGCATTTTAAAGTGTTTCACAAGAACGCACGGCCACCTAACGCGACTGTGGTTTTAAAGCGGCCACTTACGATGCCGTCGCAAGAGGATCGCTCCGTGACGGAGCGTCTCTCACTTCGAGGGTCATTTTACAAAACAAAGCGTGCATCCTTTGCGGGCTTTCGTGGCAAGTGGGTTAATTTTTGCCATAACACCATTACGACAAACGCACAATGACACGCTCTTGTGAAAACCTGCCTTGGTATTTATTGTCCGCGGGCTTAAATATTTTCTCTCTCGCGCTCTCGGGAGGGGCACCAAAGGGCGGGCGGGGAGCTGTGCAACCAGGTGGGGTTTAAAAAAAAACCTCTCTCTCGCTTCTCAAACAATCCATCTTTAACCCTGCAAATCCCAAACTGTCTGCATAGCTGTGATGTTGCTGTTTCATCTGCTTGTGAAATGCGAGAGAGTCTGAGATGGGGTTTGGGAGGGGTTGGTGTGAGAAGGCAGGCGAAGGACTGATATGAGCTACCCGTCGGAGGCCGTCGGACTGCGAGGGGGGCTGCGTGCAGAACGAGAGAGAGCGAGAGAGCGAGAGAGTGAGCGAGCGAGCGAGCGAGAGAGCGAGCGAGAGAGCGAGCTAGAGGGGGGGGGGGGGGGGGTTTACATAAAGCCAAGTTTTAACATTTTTAATTAAAAAAAAATTACGAAATTATGAACGAAGCAAAGTGCCGAATACACCGAGCAACTTCTTGTTTCCACTGATCGTAAAAAAAAAGAAAGGAGCGGAGGAGGAGGGAGGGAAGGAGGGAGGGAGGGAGGGAGGGAGGGAAGAAGAGGAGTGACCCGTTAAAAGTAAAAGGTCAGAGGTAAGGGTCAACGCGAGAGCTGCGTGCGGTCAAATTCGGTAACCCCCTTGCGGTGTTTCAATCTTTGCGAGGTAAAATGGAAAAGTAAAATATATATATATTTTTTTGCCGTGACGTTCCAAAACGCTCTAATGCTCGCTCGGATTGCGAGGGCGGGGGTGAGAAAGACACATTTGCAAGTGACCCGTCATTGCAATTCTGTATCATTTGATTGTGCAACATAACTGCTTTTGTTCTATGTTTTATCTGTAATTGTGGAATGCTGTGATGTTGTCTGCTGGCCGAGTCATCATTGAAAAATTGTTTCTTAGCTCTCTGTGGCTTTACTCGGTGGTAAATACATTTGTGACTCCGATTCTGATTACATTTCGGGGATTTTATTAAAGTGTCTTGCCTGCTTCATACTGGATGATGTTTTTGTCCAAACTGCTCATCCAGAAGTGTCATTCTAAGCCAGGGATGGGGGGGGGGGAGGGGCTTTCCTTCACTGGTGGCCAAATACAACTCTCAAATCCCGTAAGCGGGTGAGCACACATGAGCATGCACCTTGTAAGCCTCGACAGTGCATGAAGGAGCCCTTGATGCAAAGTGATTGCACTTTACTCAGATTAGAAGCACAGTGTTTCCAGGTCGATTACATCGAATATATTCCCCCTGATTAGTGTTGCTAAGATGCTTGTAGTGATGATCACGTGATCGTAATTTTAATTGTTTTCATCGTAATTAGATTTAAAAAAAACATCATTTTACGGGAAATTCTATTTGATTTAATAGTTACGTAGATTTGTTAACATTTTTGTTCCTCCTCTAAAACGCAGCTTTAGCTCCGCTCCGTTATTTAATCGCCAATTTTTTTTTTCAGTTTACATTTTTTTGTCGTCTTCGTCGATTCGCGTCCACTCTCGCAAACGAGGCTGGAATCCTGGTTTTCCCCCTCTCGACTTCTCACTGGCTGTCTACACGACCGCCGCGTGACGACGGCGACGACGGCGACGACGGCGACGACGGCGACGACGGCTGGCTAGCGACCGCCGGGCGCTCACCTTGCGTCCCACGCGGTTGTTGTGCAGGTTCATGAGCGTGCGCGCGCTCTGGCGCACCTCGCGAGCGTCCACGAAGAGGCGCGACAGCTCCAGGCCGTGGTGGACGTCCGCCGAGCAGCCGCCCCAGCGCCAGCCCTCGCGCGCGTTGTACGAGCCCTGGCGCGCTCGGTCGCAGCCGCACTCGCTCAGGTTGCCCTGGCTGCACGCCGTCGTGATGGCGTGCGCCACGCCCGCCGACGCCACCGCGTGCGCAAACGCCGCTTCTCGGCTGCCTTTGGAGGGGTCGGTAGGTGTCGGAGGGGTCGGTAGGGGTCAGAGGGGTGGGGAGGGGTCGGAGGGGTCGGAGGAGTCGGAGGGGTCGGTAGGGTCGGTAGGGTCGGTAGGATCAGTAAGGGTGGGAGGGGTCGGTAGGGGTCGGTAGGGTCGGTAGGGTCGGTAAGGGTGGGAGGGGTCGGTAGGGGTCGGTAGGGTCGGTAGGGTCGGTAAGGGTGGGAGGGGTCGGTAGGGGTCAGTAGGGGTCGGAGGGGTCGGTAAGGGTGGGAGGGGTCGGTAGGGGTCGGTAGGGTCGGTAAGGGTGGGAGGGGTCGGTAGGGGTCGTAGGGGTCGGTAAGGGTGAGAGGGGTCGGTAGGGGTCGGTGGGGTCAGAGGGGTCAGAGGGGTCGGGAGGGGTCGGGAGGGGTCGGGAGGGGTCGTAGGGGTCGGTAGGGGTCAGAGGGGTCAGAGGGGTCGGTAGGGGTCGGAGGTGACACGGGGGAGGAGACGCGTATCAGTGGAGGAGGGGGGTGACATTTGCGACATCGACGAAATTCCCTGGAAAACAGCATTGTGGGGGGAGGGGAGGGGGCAGCCTCACCACCACCCTCACCACCCTCACCACCCTCACCACCACCACCCTCACCACTACCACCATCACCACCACGCGGGGGACGGCAACTTGAGGAGGACTCCCCAGTACGACCGGCAACGACTCGCGATGGAAAATAGATTCTGAATGGCCAGCGATGCTCAAATACCAAAGAATAAAAAAATCCGAAAAATACAATGTTGAACATTTGTGACATCGTTGAACGCATCTGAAATTACTGAGATTAATAGACATGCATGACATCACCGCACGTGTATGATTTCGTTGACTCTGCGGTATCTTTTTAAGGTCACTCATTTTTTTATCACATCTGCACGTCCTCCTAAACTGCATTCGACCCGTTGTGATCTCCTCCACGGCTCATGCCTACAAATGCGATGACATCTCTTCAATCCGATGGTGGTCATCATCTTAACCACCATCATCACCATACGTCATGGTCTATCAACTGCTGGATGAAGGTTTTCCCACCTTGTCAGCATCCCTCACGGTTCGGTGACAACCCACAATCCATATCATTCCGAAGCATAAACTTCTCATCACTCGCTCCATCCCTACGGAGGTCAACCTCTCGTTTGGATTGTATGTATGTTGAACATGATGATGATGTCACCCTGCTGCTGCTCTATATAAGAACGGGAGACAGAGCAAAGCCTCACCATTCTGGCGAATTGCCCGATGATGCTTGATGCAATTACCAGCGAAACGTCGTACTCAAATTGTAAATGTTGTGGTTTCACGCTTCAACACACCGGTGGGCTAAAGCAGTGAACTATTTGTCTTTTGTCAACGTGACACTTTTTTACCGATTGGCCGTGTCGGGTGGTGGAGGGTTACGACACATTTATAAATAACGCGATCTAATTGGAGGTGCGAGCAAAGACTACAAACTAAACACAAAAAACTGTTCAAAATAAATTAATTTTCACTTTAGATTTTAAAGTGCATAGCTCCAGTGGCTTGCTAATATCAGAAGGAAGCACATTCCAGACGGCCGCAAAAGCGCATCTGAAAGCGCGCGATGCGGTAACCGTCTTTGTTCGATGGAGAGCCAAAAGCCGCTGTCAGGACGACCGGAGTTTGCGTGAAGACGGTTTCCATTCTGTTAACAGCCTCGATCGGAGTCCATTGTCCCTTCGAGCAAACGCCTCCTGCCCAAGGCCTCGTCGCTTTCCCTAACGTTCAAAACGATGTCTCTAATTTGCGGGTGTTTCCTGTTCCACGTGTTGCAATTTACACCTGTCAGGGCAATTGTAAACATGAGCCTTTCCATACTTTTATTCCATTTTAACCATCATTGTCGATATTTTTTATGCATGTCACTGCGGGTAATATTAACCGATTGCAAACATTTTTCTGCATTGCATTTGCTGTTGTTGATCATCAAATTCACATTTCTAATAACACTGCAAACCTTTGTCGCGTTGAGCCTAATCTGTCCTGAAGAATTTCCCCTCGTGGAAATGTTCTGCTTGAGTTTATTTATTTGTCTCCTTTTGTCCTTACTGGACATCTGTAAAAAAAAAAAACTCCAGAGCTTCCTTGCTCATCGGATTCCTCCTCCAGTAGTCTAAATGAAGATTCCGATTTTCCACGTTGACCTATGGCCTTTAGCACTTAACAGCATCAGCAGAAAGAATGCTGTGAACCAGCGATCTGTCTGGGGCCACTTATCCCATAATCACACTGAAGGTCAAGACTTAAGGTTATAGCTAAGGTGAAGAGAAGCCCCCCCTCCACCCCACCGCGCACTCACCTTCACATTAAGTGGCGGGAATAATGACAAACGCCTCTGGTAGTAAGCAAAATACCACCTCAGTTTGGCAAAAGAATATTGTTTTAAACGAGCATTTTGGAAACACGCCGAGGTTGATAGACTTCAAGGCTTTGTCAAAAGTGCCGGGACATGCAGGATACTATTTATATATGTTAAAACCTCTTTGAATATTTGTGCTACTATCATCCACAATTTTATTGGTGGTAATGAGGGAAATATGATTGTGAGAGATACCAAAACTAATGGATTCACGCGGACATTCATAACACGGTTGTTAAAAAAAAAACTCTTAAATCGAATCGTGCTGATGCTCGCCAAAAACGAACATTCTATTGAAAGGTTTCTTCAAAGAGGGCGCGACGCGGACACAGTGCCAACGATGAGAGCTCAAACCAGGCCCTCGCCCCTCAGCTGTCACGTGATTGATGGGGAAATTCAGGGATATTTTTTTCCCCGGCCGCAAACACATAGCCCCCATTTTTTTCCACAACAACCGATTAACGGATGCGCGTCAACGTTCACCGCCCAGGTGATAAGCGCTGCAGACGAAGTGACGAGGTGGAAAATTGTCACCCTGTGGAGTGTGACGCACTGCATGGCGTGGCAATGGTCACTGTGCGTTGTGTGTGCATTGGGCGCATATTGCTGGACTGTGTAGAGCAGTGCTTCTTAACCTGGGGTGCATGCATCCCCTGGGCGTGCGAGATGCCCTCTCTCTGGGGGTGCGAGACATGGTCAGATTTTTTTGTTTAGATAAATCATCGAAACACCAAATAAGCACGGGCACACGTAAGTACAACTACTTTGTTTCATCAAACCTATGTATTATTTATTAACGTTATGAATTTTTTTTTTTACGATTAAAAACCAAAGGGGTGCAAAGGTTGCAGTAAAGGTTAAGGGCCACTCGTGGAGAATAGCCGATGATCTGTCCAGCAGCTTTGCTGTTGAGAAGGTTGGCTCTGTAATCGATTGACCGTCTAGCTGGTGAACTTCTTCGAAGGTAGACCGTGCAGCAGCAGCAGCAGTAGTTTGAAGCTCGGTAAACCATGTGTGCGGCTGGTGGCATGTCTGTTGCATCCGCTCGACTGTATCGCTGGTGGACTTCTCAACTGTAAAGTGGGTGAACTGTGAAGTGGGTGAACCCTGTAGCTATTGGGCTTTCCAACTGGTGGACTCTGTCTCGGATGTATCTTGAGCTTGGTAGACTATAGCGAGGAGACTCTGAGCATAAGTAATAGACTGTGTTGCTAGCGACGCTGTGAGGCAGCTGGATTGTGCAGCCCAATTGATTACGTAGCTGGTGGGTTTAGGCTGTGGTCTGGGTCTCTGGTGGTCCGTGTCGATAGATGATCGAGGCCGATCGCCTCCAAGACGGGTGAGTTGTGTAGCCGGTGGACTGTGCGCACAGCCGACAGGGCTATGTGACTGTTGTACTGTGAGACAGGCTGACTTGGGTGTGCTGGCAGACTGCGAGTAAAGCCAGCAGTCTATGTGGTTGGAGGGGGGACAGTGACGAGACATACGGCCCGCGTGTGTAACCGACACTACTGCGTGTGTGAGCCACGCACCGCTGCGTGGACTGTGTGGACCGCGTGTGTCGGGGCGTGCCGCTGTAGCGAGGCGACTTACCTACTTTGAGCTCTTGCCCGAACACAGTACGTTCACCCAGCGCCGTGCAGTTCCAGCGGCCGAAGCGGAACTGGTACTGGCACTCGCTGATGCCCAACTGCGCGCCCTCCCCGATGACGATGATGACATCGGGCCGGCTTTGGCACAACGCTCGCTGCCGCGGGGCCAGACCCGGGATCTTGTTGCAGATGATGTTGGCACCCAGCGCAACCACAGACGACAGCGCCCTGCAGGTGGGCGATGGGGGATGGAGGGATGGAGAGAGAGAGAGAGGAGGGACAGGGGTGATGGGGGAGCAGGGAATGAGTGGCATATTGAGAAACAAAATTCAAATGAGTCCAGGTCCCCAAGGAATAAGTTGCCAAATTCTATGCGTCATCCGGAGACCACCCATGATGTGGTACCATGGTTGGGCTATTCCGATGATCGGTTGCTTGGTTGTGGTTTTGTTGGATTGTCTGAGATTTTGTTTTGCTGTTGGTACAACGCTCGTACAACGCGCGTTGGTACACAGGCACGAACTGTGCAATGCGTACGTGCTTTGTGACCCGAACGCATGTGTAAGCACAATATTAAATAAATATTAACTTATTAGTGGGCTTTTCATTCTTTCTATCACACTCCATGGGAGGTAGATTGTTTTGGTTTACTGACAAAAGAGACGATGTATTTGTTGGTATTTTGCATGAGACCTTAAGCAATGTTAACCCTTAGGCAGAGCCTGCCCTATGAGTGAAATCAGTAAACCCTATAGACAATCATTCAGTTTGTCACTTTTGTATTTTAGTTATAGGCATAAATTCGACAAAATTTGAACAAAGTTTTGGTTCTCTCGCGCTTTCTAAAACATCACAAAAAAGTGTATCACTCACTCACAATCATCTCCACCATGTGCGATAGGACCGTGATGTATTTGTGCACAATGCTGATAGAAAGTAACACACAACGATGGCGATTAAGTACATTCAACGCATTCATACATCAAGTCACATTTGAGAGGATTACAACTAAAATGCAATATGGTCATCGATGGGACTGTGCTTTATTCTATAACTGAATGATAACACGATGTAACACGATTTTGTTCTTGGGTAGTAAGTGTTATTTTCTCATTGCTTATGCCTCAAAAGTAGTAGAACATGGCTATTATTCCCCACAAACTTTGCTTTTTTGACCAGGACTTTATGTGAAGGAATGACACAAATGCACACGTTTACTCATTGAAAATAGTTAAATTAAAAAATATCAGCGTCCTGGTCACAAAAGCAAAGTTTGTGGGGAATGATAGCCATTTCTGTACCTTTGAGGCATAAGCTATTAGGAAATTACACTTACTACCCAGGAACAAACAAAATTGTTACACAGTGTAATATAAAGTATTTATATAAAGTAATGTAATAACTCTGTGCAGCATATTATGTTAAATCACTGTTTACAGAGTAACACATCAAATTGATAAATAAATATCAGTTTAAAGACGTAAACACTATACATTTTGGTCTCATTTATTTTTTAGAATACATTTTCTAGACCGCATTGTATTTTCATATAACAAAAAGACTCACTTTGAATAAATTATGAATCCAAAGTCAAACGAGTGTTTCTAAGGCATACATATGCAAAATATGTTAAAACCTTTTTTTTACATTATTGTCGATTTTGATTAAATAACTCAATGTTTCAGCACATGTGTTATCGCCAATAATAAATAGTTACATTTCACCGCGTTTACATTTGTAAACATATAACCAGATGCCTTCCAGCATGTTCGTGAGCGTTAATTTAAAATACAAATAGGTTATTAAAATACAACACACAGTTAATTACCTTTTTAAATAGCGTGCTCTGTAAGAACATAGTCTGTGCATTGTGCGCGAACCTCACAGCGACTAGCAACACACTTTATGGATGATGGCCTCCCTAACCCCACGTTGTGTCGGTCAGAGAGGTTGTTTGACCATACTTCACCACGTTGGTCAGTGCTTGTTGATAAACGTGGAGAGACGGAACAGGCGTGGTTTTTATTTTATCGGCTAAGGCCCACTGAGCTGTACAGCTCTTTTTTTCAGAAGCGACCTGGACCCAAATAATAGTTCAACGAAGTGGCTTATCAAGTGGAAATGCACAGCGGCCAAATATTCTTAGGTTTTCTCGGTAAAGTCACGTAGGTAAAAAATTTAAATTATTTTACTTTTATTAATTGAAATGTTTTACCTACGTGACTTTACCGAAAAAAACCTAAGAATGTGAATCCTTGCAGTCACGAAAGCTTCAAATCTAGCAGCCAAATACTCTCAACGCCACTGATGTTAGCCGTGGCCCGGAATCGAACTCAGGTTTCATAGCCGAGATGCGCTAACCCGCTGCGCCACCGCTCCGCCTGTAACGATATTCTTATTCAGGGAACTTCATTGAAATGCTCTCCCTTTCATCGCCGAGTCCAATTATGTTACATTACCTGCCATTACCGAGTGTGATACTTGGCACGGGCGCGTGACGTACAATTACGCAGCCCACCGCTGATGTGCGGGTGAATGCCCCAAACCTGAACAGCAGCAGCAATGTGACGGAATTATTACTATCATTAGGACGAAGGACAAATACAAAAAAACAACTCCACGCCGCATTCCTTTGTGTTGTGGATACTTTCGTAATTGCTCAGTCGAGATCAGCAATACCTGCGGGAGCCATTGCATCCTATCGGGAGGGCTGTATGCCCCCTCGCATTAAAAGACTCATCGGAAAGTAAGACGTACCCCCAGCTTTCATCTCGCCTCACATTACAGACACATCGACCGGGTCAGAAGAAGGTGCACTTCCCAACGTTTTCATTCAGATACAGGCAGGACATGTGTTGTTTAAACGCAGAGAGACCTCCACGGTGTACCATGCGCAACGAAAACGTAGCCCATGTTTCTCGTTCTTTCCCGTTCGACGCGGTGATGTCTGCCGATTGAGACGAGTTCGTTTTCGTTATTTGCACGTGCGCACACTACTGCCATGGCAGCCAGCCCCAACACTCATTCAGTGTGACCACTGCCATCACAGCCAGCCCCAACACTCATTCAGTGTGACCACTGACATCACATACAGCCCCAACACTCACTCAGTGCGCACCACTGCCATCACAGCCAGCCCCAACACTCACTCAGTGCACACCACTGCCATGGCAGTCAGCCCCAACACTCACTCAGCGCACACCACTGCCATCACAGCCAGCCCCAACACTCACTCAGTGCACACCACTGCAATCACACCCAGCCCCAACACTCACTCAGTGCACACCACTGCCATCACAGCCAGCCCCAACACTCACTCAGTGCACACCACCGCCATCACACTCAGCCCCAACACTCACTCAGTGCACACCACTGCCATCACACCCAGCCCCAACACTCACTCAGTGCACACCACTGCCATCACAGCCAGCCCCAACACTCACTCAGTGCAGACCACTGCCATCACAGCCAACCCCAACACTCACTCAGTGCACACCACTGCCATCACAGCCAGCCCCAACACTCATTCAGTGCACACCACTGACATGGCAGCTAGCCCCAACACTCATTCAGTGTGACCACTGACATCACAGCCAGCCCCAACACTCACTCAGTGTGACCACTGCCATCACAGCCAGCCCCAACACTCACTCAGTGTGCACCACTGCCATCACAGTCAGCCCCAACACTCACTCAGTGCACACCACTGCCGTCACAGCCAGCCCCAACACTCACTCAGTGTTACCACTGCCATCACAGTCAGCCCCAACACTCACTCAGTGCACACCACTGCCATCACAGTCAGCCCCAACACTCACTCAGTGCACACCACTGCCGTCACAGCCAGCCCCAACACTCACTCAGTGTGACCACTGCCATCACAGTCAGCCCCAACACTCACTCAGTGCACACCACTGCCATCACAGCCAGCCCCAGCACTCACTCAGTGTGCACCACTGCCATCACAGTCAGCCCCAACACTCACTCAGTACACACCACTGCCGTCACAGCCAGCCCCAACACTCACTCAGTGTGACCACTGCCATCACAGCCAGCCCCAACACTCACTCAGTGCACAGCACTGCCATGGTATCATCCCCAACACTCACTCAGTGTGACCAATGCCATGGCAGCCAGCCCCAACACTCACTCAGTGTGACCACTGCCATGGCAGTCAGCCCCAACACTCACTCAGTGCGCACACCACTGCCATGGCAGTCAGCCCCAACACTCACTCAGTGCGCACACCACTGCCATGGCATTCAGCCCCAACACTCACTCAGTGCGCACACCACTGCCATGGCAGCCAGCCCCAACACTCACTCAGTGTGCACCACTGACATGGCAGTCAGCCCCAACACTTATTCAGTGTGACCACTGCCATCCCAGTCAGCCCCAACACTCACTCAGTGCACACCACTGCCATCACAGCCAGCCCCAACACTCACTCAGTGCACACCACTGCCATCACAGCCAGCCCCAACACTCACTCAGTGCACACCACTGCCATCACAGCCAGCCCCAACACTCACTCAGTGCACACCACTGCCACCACAGCCAGCCCCAACACTCACTCAGTGCGCACCACTGCCATCACAGCCTGCCCCAACACTCACTCAGTGCACACCACTGCCATCACAGCCAGCCCCAACACTCACTCAGTGTGCACCACTGACATCACAGCCAGCCCCAACACTCACTCAGTGTGCACCACTGACATCACAGCCAGCCCCAACACTCACTCAGTGCACACCACTGACATCACAGCCAGCCCCAACACTCACTCAGTGCACACCACTGCCATCACAGCCAGCCCCAACACTCACTCAGTGCACACCACTGCCATCACAGCCAGCCCCAACACTCACTCAGTGCACACCACTGCCATCACACTCAGCCCCAACACTCACTCAGTGCACACCACTGCCATCACACCCAGCCCCAACACTCACTCAGTGCACACCACTGCCATCACAGGCAGCCCCAACACTCACTCAGTGTGACCACTGCCATCACAGCCAACCCCAACACTCACTCAGTGCACACCACTGCCATCACAACCAGCCCCAACACTCACTCAGTGCACACCACTGCCGTCACAGCCAGCCCCAACACTCACTCAGTGTGACCACTGCCATCACACCCAGCCCCAACACTCACTCAGTGCACACCACTGCCATCACAGTCAGCCCCAACACTCACTCAGTGCACACCACTGCCGTCACAGC